CAAACTCTGATTCTTCACCAAACAATTCCTCTCCAGCAACCCCCATCTAGTTGAACACTGACTCGGATGATGTTATAGCAAGGCCTGAAGGGAGGAAAGCAACAAAGCTCAAGAGAAAACAAAATATGGAAAACTCTGAGTTCGCTAAGTCCATCATGGGAGAGGCTTTCGCGTGGATAAAGCAAATCACCAATAAAAAATAGAGCTAAGACAGAAGAAACAAGATGACAATATCATGAAGATGGATGTCTCAACACTTAATTCAATTCAACGACAATACTTTAAAATACGTCAGACAAAGATATTAGAGAGGTGGATGTCTAAGGGTTCTTCCTAGTTATCATATATTATCTTGTATTAGATTTAGGATTGTACTAGCAGTTGAAAATTTTGGCATTGAATGAATACAACCTATGAAGCACGGACACGGACACGTCGACACAGACACGACATGGTACAAATTAGAACTAGCATGGCATAAATTAGAACTAACATGATATAAATTAGAACTAACATGGTATAAATTAGAACTAATACGGTACAAATTAGAACTAACATGACATAAATTAGAACTAACATGACATAAATTAGAACCAATTTGGTACAAATTAGAACTAATATGGTACAAATTAGAACTAACATGACATAAATTAGAACTAACATGACATAAATTAGAACTAACATGGTACAAATTAGAACTAACATGGTACAAATTAGAACTAACATGGTACAAATTAGAACTAACATGGTACAAACTAGAACTAACATGACATAAATTAGAACTAATATGACATAAATTATAACTAACATGATACAAATTAGAACTAACATGGTACAAATTAGAACTAACATGGTATAAATTAGAACTAAAATGGTACAAATTAGAATTAACATGACATAAATTAGAACTAATGTGTCGGGGCGTTGACGCGAGTCGACGGCGTTGACCGCGTGTCGAACGCGTGTCCGCGTCAGACACGCGTCAGACACAGACTCGGGGCTTGTTTTCGCGCGTTGGTGCTTCATAGAATACAACTACTTTATTGAAATTGAAATTGGCGTAGTACAACAACTCGAACAAATTCGCCAAAATTACATTAGACATAAAGAAACTTAATCCTCATCTATGGATCCCTTGAGCTGCCACAGATGCTCGATCAAATCATTCTTTAGTGATTTGTGTGTTTGCGTGTTCTCCCTTGAGCTGCCACAGATGCTCGATCAAATCATTCTTTAGTGATTTGTGTGTTTGCGTGTTCCTGATCCGATGATGATTTTGGATGAACTCAGTTAGAGGCACCGTCCGCACATGCGAAGGTTCAACGACTGATATCGAATCAACAAAGTCGAAGTTGTTATCAAATTAACAATCTCGTTCATCTTCAACGATCATGTTATGCATTATGATGTAAGCTGTCATGATGTCTTTCAGCATACTATGTTGCTAGAAACGTGCTGGTCCATGAACAATCGCAAATCGAGCTTGCAACATGCCAAAAGCTCGCTCGACATCTTTTCTTGCTATCTCTTGTTATTAAGTAAAGTACTTATTCTTTTTTCCTCGAGGTGTTGAAATAGTCTTCACTAATGTAGACCACTCTGGGTTAATCTCGTTGGCGAGATAGTATCTCATATTGTATTCAAGGCCATTGACAATATAGTTGCACAGTGAAGCTCTTCCCTCCACAAGCTGTGCGAAAACCGGTGAACGATATAGAACATTGATGTCATTGTGAGACCTCGGCAGTCCAAAGAAGGCATGCTATATCCAAAGATCTTTTATAACAACCGTAATTTTTTGATACGTATTTTCTAGTATTTAAAATATTATATTTCATTTTATTAATATTTTCCCAATTTCTGAAATTTTCTGAGTTTTCAAAATAAGTAAATGAATAAATAAATAAATAAAATATATAGTCTTGTATTTATTAGTTATACTAAATATTAATTTATAGTTTACTAAATTTTTTTACATATATAAATATTTGGTCACTGACATTATTAATGGCCATGTTATTATTGACATAACCTGAGCATAGTACAGTAACATATAAATATAAATATAAAGATTTTTTTTGGTTATTAATAATTTATTAATATAATTCTTATTCTGAATTTTTTATGTAAATATTTTCCATAATCTTTTTCTCCCTTAATTTTCTCTCTTTTGAATTCTTTCCATAATCCCTCACAATCAATCCCCTAATCACTATTTAACACATTCCTTTTTAATCCCGTAATTCTCTCCCTCTCTCTCCAATAATTCTCCTCTCACTATTATTTTCTCTCTCTCACGTAAACCCCCTCTCACATCATCTCTCTCTCCCCCCTCCTCCTCGCGCCGCTCAGCCCGACGCCGAGACCTCCCGACCCGCTGCCCCTCGCCGGAGTTCTTCCAACGTCACGCTCCACCGCGTCAGATCCGACCAGCACCGTCAGCGTCGATTCATTCGACACAACCCGAGGCAAGATCCCTCTTGCCCGTTGTCTCGTTAATTTATATTTTTATCTTAATTATGAATTTATTACGTATATGCGTAGATTAGTTTGTACTGATATGATTTTAATTGTGTAGTTGTTGATAATATCGCGGTGAATATTTGCTGTGAAATGATGCTATAAATGATGAATAAGTATGTCAAAAATAGTTTATGGTTAATTTCATGTTGTTTGAAAGAAAGAATATATTTATAGAGTATTTTTAGGATTATTTATAATGAGGAAAATATTTTAAAAGGGATTATTTTGAGAAAAATAATTTATTTTGGATAAGGAGTATTTTTGAATAATTGCTATGATTAAAAGAATATTGTTTTAAGAAAAAGAGTATTTTAGATTATTTTATAAAATATCATAGAAATCATTTATAAAATTAAAAGTATTATTGTTCATAAATAATAATAAAATATATTTTAAGAAGGTTATTCTAGAATTTTATAATGAGAGATAATTTTTAAAGGAAATTATTCTTGGAATTAATAATTGAGATTTTGATTTTCGTGTGTAAAACATATGTTAATGGTAGTTTCATCTTGCATTGTTAATAGTAGCTTTACTCTCGTATGTTTCTTGCATGTGATCACGACCCCGGTTCATACTTCCTGACATTGACACTTAGCGTAATTGCATTTATTATTCCATGTTGAAAATCATGAGAAGTCTTGGTCCATGTGAACGGTTGGGATTGTTGATGTATATTCCAGGCTCGCGCCGTTGAAGTTTGTGTAGTCACCGGGGTGGGTCTGAGGAGTTGAGATATTTGTGATTGTAGTTGTATTCTAGGCTCGCGCCGGTGGAGTTTGTGTAGTCACCGGGGTGGGTCTGAGGAGTTGAGATATTTGTGATTGTGGTTGTATTCCGGGCTCGCGCCGGTGAAGTTTGTGTAGTCACCGGGGTGGGTCTGAGGAGTTGAGATATTTGCGATTGTGGTTGTATTCTGGGCTCACGCCGGTAAAGTTTGTGTAATCACCGGGGTGGGTCTGAGGAGTTGGATATTTGTGATTGCGATCTATCAGTTATCCGATAATATGAGCCAGTGACCTGTTGTAGGATGACTAGTCACATGACTTAGATTCTTGGCTAAGTATGACTCTTGTGAGACGTAGATCAGTTGTATTTCTTTCCATACATAGATCGGGGTTATTATTTAATTATTTACAATTCGAGACATATGGTATATACATGAGGGTTTCCTTGTTTGGATTATTTCGCTCGACGTACTATGTCTCGAGTTGTAGATTTTTAAGTATTAATTCCATCTATTGTATAACATTGTTGCTTGGATGGTTTCTGATCGCTACCTGCATGATCTTCTTACTTGGTTGATTTTTGGATTATTCTGATTATTAGTATTCCAGTTGCATGCCTCTATTGTTATTACTATCATCACATGTTCTATTTCTATTTCTGTTATCGCATTGACCACGCATATGTTATTATTACTGTTATTGTATTTGTTCCTGGGTTGGGGGATCTTGCCGTGTGTTATACACGCTGACGTACTCCTATTTTCTGGGTGTACGTCAGATTTAGGAGACAGAAAACCTCAGTTCGGAATCGTGCAGGAGCCAGAGGATTCTCAGCCGAGTGCCTTGCAGAAGGAGTAGAAGAACCAGTTGAAGCGTAGTGGTTTTTTTCATAATAGTAGTTGGACATTAAAACTCTTTTTACCGTACTTTACTTTAGTCTGATGTTGGATTTAGTTGTTTTAGCAGTACTTTCCTTTCATTTCTATTGGACTATGTATTTTTATATTTTTAGTTGGACCGTTTTGTAATAAGGGCGTGTTTGACCCAACTCTATGTCTTGGATGATATTCTATTTGTGATATGTATCTTTTCCATTCTGAGTTGTTCATTATACTCTTGCTATGTGTGATCGGGGACCTGTGACTTCGTATATTATATTTTTGACGTTTAGCGTATTAGATTGAGTAGAAAGAGTTTTATTATTTATTTCTACTCAACCTAATACGTCGCAGGCTTGTTCACGTTCTGATTCCCGGGTATTTCGGGAAGCGGGGCGTGACAGGTTTTTTTGGTGGCCCATGCAGGTCACGGTCCCGAGTCCTCACTAGTAAGAATATAGAAGACAATTTAGATACATATCATATTTCATCCGTAAGACTACAATTAAGTTCTTATACTATTATCTTAATAACTATGTTTTAATTCCTATTTTCCCAATATATTGTTTTTAACCTTAGTTATCCTTTTGATCCTCGTGTTCCCTTAGAACCATGGTGTGTACTCGTCGTAATGGTAATCCATCCAGCAGAAGTGGTCAGATGCCTAAAATGGAACCGCACCAGCTTTTGGAGATGATTCATGGATTAGTGATGAATCAGCAGTTCTTGGCTGGGCACTTGCAGCGGGAGCCTCAGCACCAGCCTCCCCCTCGTCCAGAGTCATCAGCAGTTCTTGGCTGGGCACTTGCAGCGGGAGCCTCAGCACCAGCCTCCCCCTCGTCCAGAGTCTAATGTTAGGGAGTTTCGGTATATGCAGCCTCCTTCTTTCTCTGGTGCCGAAGGACCTTTAGCAACAGAGGAGTTTCTCAAGGTCACGGAGACTATTCTCACGGTGACCCGCATTCCCTATGCTGAATGGGTGGACTTTATGGATATTCAGCTCACCGACACCGCTCGGATTTGGTGGACTGCAGAGAAGGCTCATTTGGAGAGACCGATTTCCTAGGAAACCTTCACAGACCGCTTTAACAGGAAATATTTTCCTCAGTCAGCTCGGGATGAACTCCTACGTAGATTTGTTGAGCTCAAGCAAGGAGGTCGATCCATCGATGAGTACGAGGCCGAGTTTTCTTCCTTGAGTCGATATGCTCCTCATCTTGTTACAGACCCTACTATCAGGAGGCATCAGTTCCAGAAGGGTCTGGACAAGTATATTAGATTGGCTTTAGCTGGTAGAGCACTTGCGATCCATGATGCGGTGCTGGATGCAGCACGGGAGATTGAGAGCGTGCATAAGGAGCCTGAAGACTCACACGTGATTCAGAGCAGGACACCAGCAGCTCCGACCCGTAATGTCGAGCGTCCCCTTCCGAGGCAGCAGCAGAACCCGTAGAGGCAGCATCATTCTCAGCGTCAGCCATTTCATCATGCTCATCCTTATCAGCGTCCTGGAGTGCAGTCTCAGAGCCAGCCATTGGTGCAGTGTTCCTATTGTAGCTACCCTGGGCATACCCAGCAGGAGTGCCCTAGGCGTCTTCGTCTGTGCTACAACTGTGGGTCCCCCGACCATGTCAACCGGGAATGTCCGCAGCGGCAGCAGGCCAGTTTGCCCCCACCTCCAGTTCGAGCAACTCTTCCAGCTCCACCTCGATCAGACTCAGCAGCTCCAGCTCAGCACGAACCCTACCCTCGAGCAGGCCCTCTTCCTCCATAGCAGCAGATTTATCAGGAAGCACAAAGGCAGCAACCACCGCGTCAGACATTCATGATGACGGCCGTGGAAGCTACGGAGAACAACCAAGTTATCACCGGTGAGAATAGTTCATTCTTAGTTTTATTTGCATATGAACTTCCTTATTTCGTATTGCCTGATGATATTATTATAGGACTTGTTTATGAGTGCTAGCTTAGATGTATTTCCATCCTCCTATAATAGGCAAAGTTCTTGTTTTTCCGTTCTTGCTTTATCACTCTTTGACTTTAGAGCTTCCCATTGTTTTTTGTCTCGTCGATTTGCGAGTACCCACACTTGTTCCATATATCTGTCCTTGGGTTTAATTCCGAGGACGGAATTTGTTTTAAGGGGGGTAGGATGTAATAACCGTAATTTTTCGATACGTATTTTCTAGTATTTAAAATATTATATTTTATTTTATTAATATTTTCCCAATTTCTGGAATTTTCTGAGTTTTCAAAATAAATAAATAAATAAATAAATAAAATATATAGTCTTATATTTATTAGTTCTGCTAAATATTAATTTATAGTTTACCGAATTTTTATATATATATAAATATTTGGTCACTGACATTATTAATGACCTTGTTATTATTGACATAACCTGAGCATAGTACAGTAACATATAAATATAAATATAAAGATTTTTTTTTGGTTATTAATAATTTATTAATATAATTCTTATTCTGAATTTTTTATGTAAATATTTTCCATAATCTTTTTCTCCCTTAATTTTCTCTCTTTTGAATTCTTTCCATAATCCCTCACAATCAATCCCCTAATCACTATTTAACACATTCCTTTTTAATCCCGTAATTCTCTCCCTCTCTCTCCAATAATTCTCCTCTCACTATTATTTTCTCTCTCTCACGTACACCCCCTCCTGCCCCTCGCCAGAGTTCTTCCGACGTCACGCTCCACCGCGTCAGATCCGACCAGCGCCGTCAACGTCGATTCATTCGACACAACCCGAGGCAAGATCCCTCTTGCCCGTTGTCTCGTTAATTTATATTTTTATCTCAATTATGAATTTATTACGTATATGCGTAGATTAGTTTGTGCTGATATGCTTTTAATTGTGTAGTTGTTGATAATATCGCGGTGAATATATGCTGTGAAATGATGCTATAAATGATGAATAAGTATGTCAAAAATAGTTTATGGTTAATTTCGTGTTGTTTAAAAGGAAGAATATATTTATAGAGTATTTTTAGGATTATTTATAATGAGGAAAATATTTTAAAAGGGATTATTTCGAGAAAATAATTTATTTTGGATAAGGAGTATTTTTGAATAATTGCTATGATTAAAAGAATATTATTTTAAGGAAAAGAGTATTTTAGTTTATTTTATAAAATATCATAGAAATTATTTATAAAATTAAAAGTATTACTGTTCATAAATAATAATAAAATATATTTTAAGAATGTTATTCTAGAATTTTATAATGAGAGATAATTTTTAAAGGAAATTATTCTTGGAATTAATAACTTAGATTTTGATTTTCGTGTGTAAAACATATGTTAATGGTAGTTTTATCTTGCATTGTTAATAGTAGCTTTACTCTCGTATGTTTCTTGCATGTGATCACGACCCCGGTTCACACTTCATGACATTGGCACTTAGCGTAATTGCATTTATTATTCCATGTTGAAAATCATGAGAAGTCTTGGTCCATGTGAGCGGTTGGGATTGTTGATGTATATTCCAGGCTCGTGCCGGTGAAGTTTGTGTAGTCACCGGGGTGGGTCTGAGGAGTTGAGATATTTGTGATTATGGTTGTATTCCGGGCTCGCGCCGGTGAAGTTTGTGTAGTCACCGGGATGGGTCTGAGGAGTTGGGATATTTGTGATTGCGATCTATCAGTTATCCGATAATATGAGCCAGTGATTTGTTGTAGGATGACTAGTCACATGACTTAGATTCTTGGCTAAGTATGACTCTTGTGAGACGTAGATCAGTTGTATTTCTTTCCATACATAGATCGGAGTTAATATTTAATTATTTACAATTCGAGACATATGGTATGTACATGAGAGTTTTCTTGTTTGGATTATTTCGCTCGACGTACTACGTCTCGAGTTGTAGATTTTTAAGTATTAATTCCTTCTATTGTATAACATTATTGCTTGGATGGTTTCTGATCGCTACCTGCATGATCTTCTTGTTAGACCCTAGAGGGGGGGTGATTAGGGTCTTATGCTAATCTAATCCGATTAAATACCAATTAAAATTAATTAATAAGTTATCCTAGCAAGTATGAAATACAACAATATTTGTAAGCTAGGATAAGTAATATGAACAACAATATATATCCTAATAATGAGATATAGGCAATGCAAGGATATAAAACTAACACAAGGGTAAATACTCTAAACTAGATAGTGGATCATAAAAAGGACGAGTAATGCACAATTGGCGATATAAGATAAATGCAAAAACAAATACGCCAAAGACAAACTAAAATAAGCAATATGATCACGGAGTTCGGCCCTTCCGTCCTATGTCTCCGCTCCCCACTCCCGGGGAGAAATCCACTATCAACCGGGTTTTCTACGTTCACCCGAACAACGTTTACACCTCACACTCGGTTTTCTAGCTAACCGAAAACTTTACAATCAACACACTATTGTAATCCCACTCTACACCCACTAAGTGCTGGACCTAGCCGTGTCTCCCTCAAGTGCTCGGTTACAACCTCTCCCTAGGCTCGTCAACCGATGCCACTTCTCTTGGGACGATCCCCGACTCTCACCACACACTCCTCACTCGGTGTACAAGTGTATTACAAAGTGAATCTCACAATAAGCACAATATAACAAATGATTGTTCTCTCTAACAAGGTGAGAACTCGATTAGGCTCAACTCAATGTCATACTATTCCACAACCTAATTATATAATGTATGCAAATACAATAAGCTCAATGGTTGTGTGTGTAAACAAAGAGTAAATCAAATAAAACTAAACTCAATATAAAACTAGCTTTAATAGAAATGATAATCAACAAATAATTATAGATAAAAGCTACAATAAGATAATCTCTTCCACTTGTGAAAGCTAAAACTGCTTTAAACCAAACCCTTAAACAAGCTTAAAACAAGCTTAAACTCTTTTTCAAACCCTTGTTTAAAAACTTCTTGGCTTAGTTGAAAACTAAGATCAAAGAGAGTATTTATATCCTCCAAAACCTCAGCTAAAAATCCCAAGTCAAAAGACAGAAACAACCCCAGCAACAGTAATAAAACTAGCCGTTGGAAGCTGAAAAAGTCATCGTCGGTCGACCGGACCGGTCGAACAACAGACTCTCTGTCGCCCAGTGAGCATATGAACTCAGGTTCGGTCGACCGGTTCGGTCGACCGAAAACTGACATATTCAAAAACTGGTTTTTTAAAGCTGAACTTTGGAAAACTGTTAAAAATAACAAATGAAGTCCAAAAATAATAAAACTTTGGGAAATGTATATAAAGAATTTTCCAAATTTCATTTCCCATTTGTGAAAAATCATCATTTTGCAAAATAGTTCAAAACACGAAAATGTAAATATGTGAAATTTGATATTTTGGTTAAACCATGTTTTGAAACTTTGCGCAATGATTATATAGACTTAATAAAATATGTATATGATTATTGTTAAGTCCAAAAACAATGAATACCATATTTTCACAAAATTGCATATTCTATACAATTTATACAAAACACTAAATATGATTTCATTAAATATAAGCTTATTAAAGAGGAAATCATATGTAGGCATATAAACATGAAACAAAATAGTATTTTCCAATTCTATTCATTTGTTTCATATATAAATTCGAAACCTATTAAACCAAAAACATATATGTATATATATAACTGTATATATACAAAACCAAAACCAAAGCGTGTATGTGTGTATATGATTGAGCTTAAAAAGCTTGATCTTGATCTTCATTGTAGCTTAACTTGGTACACATGCGGATGAAGCTTGAACTTGATCTTTAACTATGAATTGCATGTTGCTTCACTCCACAATTCCTCCAACCTCCATTAGATATGATCGTTATGGCGCAATCCATCCATCCTCCAACAACATTGTTTGTCTACAATACATAGGAAAACACAAATACTAGACAAACAACATTAATGGTAAATTGTTTGTTAAACATCATCAAAACAAGAAGGCCAACACTTCTTACTTGGTTGATTTTTTGGATTCTTCTGATTATTAGTATTCCAGTTGCATGCCTTTATTGTTATTACTATCATCACATGTTCTATTTCTATTTCTGTTATCGCATTGACCACGCATATGTTATTATTACTGTTATTGTATTTGTTCCTAGCTTGGGGGATCTTGTCGTGTGTTATACACGCTGACGTACTCCTATTTTCTGGGTGTACGTCAGATTTAGGAGACAGACAGCCTCAGTTTGGAATCGTGCAGGAGCCAGAGGATTCTCAGCCGAGTGCCTTGCAGAAGGAGTAGAAGAACCAGTTGAAGCGTAGTGGTTTTCTTTCGTAATAGTAGTTGGACATTAAAACTCTTTTTACCGTACTTTACTTTAGTCTGATGTTGGATTTAGTTGTTTTAGCAGTACTTTCCTTTCATTTCTATTGGACTATGTATTTTTATATTTTTAGTTGGACCATTTTGTAATAAGGGCGTGTTTGACCCAACTCTGTGTCCTGGATGATATTCTATTTGTGATATGTATCTTTTCCATTCTAAGTTGTTCATTATACTCTTGCTATGTGTGATCGGGGACCTGTGACTTCGTATATTATATTTTTGACGCTTAGCGTATTAGATTGAGTAGAAAGAGTTTTATTATTTATTTCTACTCAACCTAATACGTCGCGAGCTTGTTCACGTTCCGATTCCCGGGTATTTTGGGAAGCGGGGCGTGACATCTTTGCTAGCTACAGCCTCCAAAATAATTATAGGTTCATGAAAATGCTCAGTATACATACCATGCCAGACGGTTGGACAGTTCTTCCATGTCCAGTACATGCAGTCGATGCTCCCAAGCATACCAGGAAAACCTCGTTGTGAACCTTCCTCAATCATGTGTGCAATGTCTTCATTAGTCGGTGAACGAAGGTATTCCTCTCCAAAGATGTCGATAATCAATCGAACGAACCTCTTCAGGCTCTCAATCGACATACTTTCACCGATCCGAACGTAGTCGTCAACAGAGTCAGCGGATGCTCCATATGCGAGTATTCGCATAGCTACAGTAATCTTTTGAAGGCTAGATAATCCCAACTGTCCAACACCATTCCTCTTTTGGATGAAGTACTCATCATGTTCGACGACTACGTTGTGGATTCGAAGGAATAATGAACACGACATTCTGAATCTTCGACGAAAATAATGAAGAGGATAGATTGGTATGTCTGCAAAATAATCTTAGAACAACTGATTGTGGCCTTCCAGTCGGTTTCGTTGAAGCACAATTTTTTTTGTGTTGACGTGCAGTTCTAACTTTCTCTTATTCTTCTTCCTCGACAAAAGCAACTCCCATAATAAAGAACGTCTTCATCATTTCATCATCGCTTGAGCTAGATGAGCTAGACATTTTGTTGTGGGAGATGATGGGTTGATGTGAGAAGACGTCGAATTTTATGGGAATCAGTTGGTTGACGGTCAAAGTGTGTGATACCTCGAACTTCGTGCCCAACAGATAGGATCTGTCAGTTGCCAGTGAAAGTGTATGCTCCCTCGAAGATCGTGTCCAACGAATATGAATCTGTCGGTTGTCGGTGGAAATATAGGCAATCTCGAAGAGCACGGGTTATCTCGAAGACCATGCCTAGTGGATAGGATTATGTTGGTTGTCGATGAAAGTACGCGCTCCCTCGAAGACCGTGTCCAACGGTTAGGAATCAAATAAAAGAGGTTTAAATATAATTAAAAGTAATGAGTAACAAAAATAAAATAAAGAGGGGTTTTTTTTATATTATTGGAGCTTCTAACTAGGAGCTTGTTGGAGATCAACATTAGTTAGGAGAGTGATGTGACATTGAAATTGATGGGCCATGAACTTGAAAGAGTTTGAGAGCTCTCCAACAAGGGCAGCTAGGAGCTTGTTAGAGATGCTCTTAGCCCTACAGTTTAGAGAGGAAACTCCCTCACGTACCGCTTGCATCACCACACGTGCGACCCACCTCAAAATCCTCACCGTCCACACCCAATACAAAAACAAAACCCTAGTCCCCAGTCTACCCCTCTCTCCCTCTCAGATATTTTCTAGGGCCAAAGTCGCCGCCTTTGGCCCCCAAAAAGATCCCAATCTCTCTCCCCTCAAACCCTAGAGAGAGAAAAACGAGAGAGAGAAAAGTTTCGATCCCACAATGGACTCCGACCAAGGAAAGCTCTTCATCGGAGGGATATCTTGGGACACCACCGAGGAAAAATTGAAGGAGTATTTTGGGAATTATGGCGAGGTTCTCCAGGCCGTGATCATGAGGGACAAGATGACGGGGAGGCCAAGGGGTTTTGGGTTCGTCGTGTTCGCGGATCCCTCGATTTTGGATAGGGTTCTTCAGGATAAACATAATATTGATGGAAGAATGGTAAATGAGTTGATCTCTTGTTCTTGTTGTTAAGATGATTTCTTTTGTTAGGGTTTCTTCTTTTCTGTGGATTTTGGTTGTGGGTTTTGATTTATGAGTTGATTGGTTGAGTTTTGATGTGGTTGCTGATCTAGGGTTTTGGTGATCTGTGAGTATTTTGTGAAATATACATTGTAAAATATAATTCCTAATTTATCTTATTACTGCTTAGATCTCTTGCTTACTAAGCTAATATAATTCATTTCTTATTGTTTTGTTTGGGTTTTTTGGTCAAATATCAGGCACAGATTCAATAACTGACAATATGATGAACACCTTACATTTTATGGGTAATTTTTTGTGTAATGAATACCTTTGCTGATAAAAACTTAACCTTGTTACGTTTACATGCATGCTTAATTATCTTGCTGCTATACAATGCTCTGAAAATTTAAGTATATAATGTGTAAAGGTGAAACGATAGGTTGTGTTCCTGCTTCAATTTAACTGTATTTTGCTAGTAAAATCTAGTGGAGAATTTGATATTGTATAATGAGCACGGTAGCAGTTTTTGTTAGTTCTCTTTGCTGTTTCTGTTTAATGCTCAACATATACTCTGATTATTGTTGTTTGTTGGCAAGTATAGTATATTTTGTTTGTTGATTTTGCAGGATGTGTGCATATGCCAACTTGGTTCGAGTCTCTAGCCTTCTAAGTTTGTTGTTTACGCATTCATGTACTATTTTGTTGCATTGTTTTTTTATCCTCAGGAAAGCATGCCGTTTTGGGCAGAGAAATATCTTCAAGATAAAATATCTTGCGTAATTTTATTCCCTTGTTCAATGATTTATGCAGCGATTTTCTTTTGTCATATGAATATCTTCTATGATTTCCCTTTTATCTTCTGTGATCTCTGTTTCTTTCTTTTTGGTGTTTTCACTTGCCTCTGCATGTCTTTTGGTATGATATAACGTATGTTCAGTTGCAGCCTTGTACATTCTCTTTGAAATAGTTTGTGTTCTGTATTTTAATCTTTGTTTTGGTCATTCAGGTGGAAGCTAAAAGAGCTCTCTCCAGGGAGGAGCAGCACACCACTGGGCGATCTGGAAACTCCAATTCAGGTAGAATGGGCGGTGGAGCCGGTGGCGGCGGTGGAAACCTTAGGACTAAGAAAATTTTTGTTGGAGGGTTGCCTCCCACGCTAACTGAAGATGAATTCCGTCAGTATTTCCAAAACTACGGCAACGTTGCTGATGTTGTCGTCATGTATGACCAAAACACCCAGCGACCTCGTGGGTTTGGATTCATCTCCTTTGACAACGAGGATGCAGTTGACCGTGTTCTTCACAAGACCTTCCATGAACTGAATGGGAAAATGGTGGAGGTCAAGCGCGCCCTTCCCAAAGATGCAAACATGGGTGGTGGTGCTGGTGGCCGTTCTGCAGGTGGTGGCGGATCCTATCAGTCTTATGGTGGTGGTTCTGGTGGCAATCCTAGTTCATATGACAGTAGAATGGATGCAAATAGGTATATGCAACCACAAGCAGCTTCTGGTGGTTACCCTTCTTATGGATCATCAGGATACGGAGCACCTAGTTATGGATATGGTACAGCAAACAATGGTGTAGGATATGGTGGATATAGTGTCGGAGGATACGGTGGGTCCACTGGTGGATACGGTGCGCCTTCAGGTCCTTATGGAAACCCTAGTGCTCCTACTGGCGGTTATATGAGTGCTCCACCCGGTGCTCCAAGGAGCCCATGGAATAATCAGGCTCCTACAGGTTATGGGTCCTCAGGCTATGGAATGCTCGCCCGGTAGTGGCGTGGATCTGCTGCAGGCACTCGACTGGACATCGCCAAATAACAGCCACTGGCTATGGAAACCAGGGTTATGGTTATGGAGGTGGTTATGGTGGAGTTGATGCGTCTTATGGTAATCAGGGCGGGTACGGTGCTGTTGGTGGTCGTGGAGGTGCTGCTGCAAATAATCCGGCGGGTGGTGCAGAACAAGGAGCAGGTTCTGGGTATATGGGTTCTAGTGCCGGTGGAGGCTATGGTGATGCAAATGGCAACTCAGGATATTCCAACTCTTGGAGGTCTGATCCTTCACAAGGCGGTTATGGAGCTGGTCAGGTCGGTGGCCAACCTGGCGGGCCTGCTGGTTATAACCAGAGATTGATGACAATTGCTCTTGAGGATGGCTTGCGGAGGAATCGGATTTTGTGACGGTTGGAATGCTCGAATCTCAGTAGTTTTTAGTAGTAATGGTAGTATTAGTTGGGGCTATTTGTGTGCGTACCATTGCCTAGTATCGTTAGTAGTTTGCCTGAGTACTATTTATCTTGCTTTGCTTGTTGACTAGTTCTTAAGTTTGGTATGTTGAGTATTATCTGGATTTAGTTGCTCGTTACCTTGCCTCTAGTTGTAATGCTAGAGTAGCATATTTCATAAGATTTGTCTTTTACTTATCTGGATAATTTTAGTTTGAAGTACAAGTTTTATGGTGTTAAATGCTTCTGCCTTGTTATTATCTCTACTTTTTACTGTTTATCTTTTGGTACATGACAAGGATAAAGAATTAAAGTTATAGCTATGTTTCAGAATTTACTGACATTATGTGCAAGAGTAAGCTTTATAATAGCAACAGTAATATTCTCAGAGTATTGATAGAGTAATGGAGACTGCTAATGGAAGATGAAGCCAGACCGTTTTCTCCTCCCTGACATGTGATACAAGAGTAGAGCCTTCATTGTATCATGAGTAGCTTTATATTGAGTATGGAATGCTAGAGATGTAGAGAATAGTGGAGATTGCTAGTAGAGGGTGAAGTTTGTCTGTTGAAATCATATACATAGCGTGTCAGGACATTGTAGTTGAGAAATGCATGGGAATGATAGCACACTTGTTTGTTCTTCAGTAGCTTCTTTGACAATTATCTATGAGGTGGATCTTTTCTACAGTAGCAGCTGTAATTTTCTCATGATTATATATCAAGTAAGGGGAATGCTTGTTCATAAAATGTACATAAATTTCTGAAGTAGAGCTTTTACAGTATCATCGGTAGCTTTGTTAAGAGTAGAGATGTAGAAAGTAGTGGATATATTAGAGGATGAATCTGTTTTGAGTAGAGAAGTTGGCATCATAGCTGTAGTAGTGATATACAGAAACAAAGGAATAATCCTTCTTTCTGCATTTTCCCTTGTGTACAGGGATATGGTGCTCTCTCACACTGATTCTGCTACCACTACTGCTATGGTACTGACTGCTTACTTGAAGGCAGAGGGAGGTTGAAGAAAACCATTTTTGAGTACTTGCTTTCCAGTTGCTTGTGCTGAGGTTACATTTGATCGGCGATGCATTGATTGTCTGGTGGTAATCAGTGAATAATGAAACTCATTTACAGTATCATCGGTAGCTTTGTTAAGAGTAGAGATGTAGAAAGTAGAGCTTTTACAGTATCATCGGCAGCTTTGTTATGAGTAGAGATGTAGAAAGCAGTGGATATATTAGAGGATGAATCTGTTTTGAGTAGAGAAGTTGGCATCATAGCTGTAGTAGTGATATACAGAAACAAAGGAATAATCCTTCTTTCTGCATTTTCCCTTGTGTACAGGGATATGGTGCTCTCTCACATTGATTCTGCTACCACTACTGCTATGGTACCGACTGCTTACTTGAAGGCAGAGGGAGGTTGAAGAAAACCATTTTTGAGTACTTGCTTTCCCGTTGCTTGTGCTGAGGTTACATTTGTTCGGCGATGCATTGATTGTCTGGTGGTAATCAGTGAATAATGAAACTCATTTTTTGATTCTGACCTCTTCTTTTATTTGTTCTTTGTTTTTGTTCTTCTTGATGCTTTAAAAGTTGAAAAAGGTTCATGAGATTTCATCAAAGCAGAAGTATTTTTTTTTGTAATGTACTAGGTTGTAGATCTCTTTTTGAATCCCTCTTTTGAGATTTTTTTTGGTGTTAATTGTGTGTGATTGTTATGAATGAATGATGTTTGAAGGGGTGATTTCTCTCTCTGATCTGTGGTGTTTCCTTGCGCAAACAATTTGTTTTGTGTCATGCTGATTTGATGGTGATATACTTGGATGGGTTAACTTAGGAGGCATGCAGGCATATATTAAATTGTTTCCATGTCAACTAAATTGTTTCTCACGAGGTTAAACCTTATATGTTGATTGTTTACGTTTTGTGAGGCTGTGAGGCCAGTAATGAACTCAATCGGTATCAGTTTTAATTGAAAGATTTGCTCCACTGTTTGAAATTTGCCCTACCAAAAGTTCAATAGCTGGGTGTCACTGATTTTGAGTATTGTATGTCTTACTTTAGGTGCAGGTAGAGAGAAGTCCTGGTGTAGTTAACATCAAGGAGTTGATATTTAGTTTCCTATTATATTAAGGATCATAAATAAACAAGCTTTTGTTTCCAGTGCATTCTATTTTGACAACAATGTAATCTGCAGCATATCTACACAACGGGCACGCTGTGTACCCTGCAGTTGCATAGGCTATTGCTGCATTTGCATGTAACTATCTTAAAAATTGATTGTTTCACACCCATCACGGTTGATCTGGATGGTTAGGAGGTTCCTATATGGTTGTCACAGTTTGGTTTGTTTTTTGGTTGCATTATCCCGGGGAAAGAAAAAAGAATTTATTGCACTATAATTGACCAATGCAATACGAGTAGAGGAAACTAGCTACAAGTTGACAGCTCATTTTGCAAAAGGGGTTGCCAACTCGTTGTCAGGGGTGAGTAAACGGTTGTTTTAGACGGTTTTGACTATTTCTTTTCAAACCGAACCGACCTGACCCGAACTAGAGTCAAACCCGACCCGTACCTAACCGTGTTAAATCGATGCGGCGTTGCTGCGGTTTGTTTGGTTTGGGCTTAGACATGTAAAGTTAAAGGATTATTAGCTAAAGTAGAAGACTATGTCTCATATGAACCTTTCAGTCATTAGCCAAAGTAGAAGACTATTGCTCATATGAACCTTTCAGTCATCTCATATACCAAAGTGAAGAGGAAACTCATTAAATCGATAACTTTGCGAACTAAAATTAAATATTTATCAATTAATATACATAAAAATGTTGAGTATAAATTATCTATTCACCTTGAATAAGCATAAAATTTTAGACAATTATATTGAGGGCGGTTGGTTTGATTATTTCAGTTTCAAATATTTTAGAACCGGACCGAACATTAGTTTTTCTAAAATCCCATTGAACAACCGAAATTCGGTTGGTCTAATCTGTTTGCGCCGAAGTGTGCTCACTTGTACTCACTGTCATGTGAGCCTACACCGATGTGACTAGTAGTGGTGCTTATAAAAAATACTGTAGCAAAAAAAAAAAAGGAAAAAAGAAAAATATGAAAGGCAACGACTTGCGCGATAGTCATAATTGTTAACTTTTTGAGCTACAAATGCGGTTGAAGTTATAATTTTAATTGCAACTAACCCCTAAGGGGCTGTTTGGTTCCCTGTTTTTGAGGGAAATGCTCTCTTGAAAGCCTGTCAAAAGTATCAAAAGTGTCATTTTTTAGCAGGCTTTCAGTCTAAATCTTCTTTTTTAGAGACGATTTTGGCTGAAAGCCTGCCAAAAAGTGATACTTTTAGTATTTTTGACAGGCTTTCAAGAGAGCCTTTCCCTCAAAAACAGAGAACCAAACCGCCCCTAACAGAAGTCCAGAAATCTCTAACAACTCAAACATGGCACCCAGCTAACTAATTGCTATTACAGCTGTGTTGCCGTGTTGGACGACGACAGTTTACAATAAGGTACTTGCATTGCGAGTTCAATTTTGCAATGAACTAATCCGTATAGCATATACTTCACATATTTGCAATGAAGACCAAAATCCTGCAGAGCACTCCACCTACCGAAGAAGGATGGATCACATCTTCTCTGTTCTTTATCTCTAATCGCATGAGAAATCTAGAAAGAAAAAAAAAAATGACAGGAATTTAAACCTGTAATAGCAAATGTAGGATAATACCCAATATCATTTCTTTTTTACCCGAGAACTACAAGAATAAAACCAATGAGTGGACTTAAAGAAAAATCGTAAAGGTAAATGTTTTCGGAGAAAGCCAGAAAGGATCAGTATGCAGATGGAATGCCTTTGAATGGATCACTGAATGCTTTAAGGTTGCCTGGGCGAGAGAAAACGATCTGCGAAATTTCGTAGTTTTTCATTAGTATTTACCAAAAAACAATACAAGGGGCACCTAATAAAAATAAAAATAAATAAGAATATTTCTGTCATCTGTGAAGTTGTATACGGTATACAAAAATTACAAGCATGCATTTTTTCTTTAACAGAATCTAACATGGATTTTCATGGTTTTGTTCAGAAAACTATTGTGAACTTTGTCACAATTTATCAATTCCTTAATAGTACTGGCTTAAGTGATTACGTGATTCTAAAGAGATATTTTATAAAGAAAATTATCCCCAAATCTTGTATAAACTGCATAACACACCTCCATTATCTATTAAAAAAAACTTCCTCTTTCTTATTATCAAGTTTGATTAAGGCAGACGCATACCTGATAATTTCCAAGCGTCAGCGATTTAAAACCAGCTGCACAATATATGAAGTAGTATTCCCATGTCCTTAAGAACTTCTCGTCAAACCCCAGGGCAAAAATCTCACTGAAAAAAGAAATATAGAAAAGGCTTATGCATGACAATATGTAAACTTTTATGTCATATGCCGAAAAGAATTAACGGTAAGAACTGTGCATGTCTTCATCATCAGATTATATAAATAATTTATTCGTTGAAACAGAAGAAAAATCAAACATATCAAAGAAAATTGATTAGTGCAATCTTTTGATTATAACTAGACAATAAACACCCAAAAGCACCCATCTTACTACTAATTTGATTATGGAAATACCTCTTTTTGGCCATGAAATTATCCCTCCAGCATCTCAATGTTTGGTAATAATGTATGCCCATATTCTCCACATGTTCCACACTATGATATACAATACAAGCTTAAGTAAGTTTCCAAGATAAAACATTATACACTTTTGTAAACACATAACAAAGCTATGAGGATCTGTAATGTATCTGTAACAATTACCAGAACCTTGAAGAAGCAGCCATGGCTGATGTTACTCTACTCAGAGAAGGAAGACACCCACCAGGGAAAATGTACTCCTTTATAAAGTCAGAACTTCTCCTATATTCATCATATCTTTCATCTGGAATTGAGATAAACTGTACCCAAGGGCTCTATTGTAAGAATTTTATAGTGAGAGTGAACAATAAAATAAAATTACAGTGGGGGAAAAAAATCAGGAAAGGGGAATCTTCAGGGATTATTTCGGTATTGTTACATTACGGTGAGAAAAACAAATCAATAAAGGGGAATCTTCAGGGATTATTTCGGTATTGTTACATTTGAAACCTAAATAAGTGCACATTTTGAGCCCAGCTGTCCTTGCTACCAAAGGTTTACATGCTTACATATATTGCGCATCTATCAAAAATCAATCATAACAAGATGATTAGCAAACTGTATAAATTTATCCTTCTCCTTTTATCTTGAAGAATGTCATGATTAACTTTGTGCCTGAAGAAAATTCTGACACAGTTCATCCCATTGCCTTTAAATAAAATTTTGTTGAATCATACGGAGTAAACATTATAAGAATTTTTTTTATTGATATGTAATTTTTTAACAAAAATATTCACCTGAAGGACAAATAGACCATCTTCAGCCAAAATCGATTCACAACGTCCAAAGAATTCTTCCATGTACTCATGCCCAACTGCTTCTAACATCTCACTGCAAAAATTGATTTGGTAAGGCCAAAACTATTTGTGCATTGGTGAGCACGCAAATGCAAAATTATGTCGCAAGAAGATGAAGCTGTTTGGAATCCATACCAAGATATAATTCTGTCATATTTGTGAAAGCTCGGTAATTGGCGGTAATCACAGAGCAAGAATGTAATTTTGTCCTGAAAAAAGATGTACCAAGTAAAATATTTCCAATCTCCATCTATCCTCAACTGCTATATAAATAATCTTAAAATTGCACTTGACCTAAATGTGAATTCCTATGATCAATTTAATAGCTTTAAAGGAGGAATATGAAAAGAGTTTGTAATACATTATATATATGAATTATGAGGAATATGAAAAGAGTTTGTAATACATTATATATATGAATTATGACAAAGAAGAACACAAGCTCAACGAGATCAACTTTCTCTTATATATTGGAAAATACAAAGCAAAGAAAAAAAGATACTGTGGTTTAGTACTTCATATTAATCGAATTCCTGATGAAAATAGATTTAAGGGTTAAAGTGAGATAAAAACCTCTAAACCTGCATCTTTCACTCTTCTTTTGGCAAGTTTGAGTTGCTCTGCAGACAAGGTGATGCCGGTGTATTTACATCCAGTTCGCTTAACAACTTCTATTGCTAGACTTCCCCAACCGCATCCAATCTCAAGAATTTCATGTTTGCTTTCAATTCTAGCCTAAGTTTTGAGTAAGGGGAAAAAAAGACTCAGGATACCCAGTGGAAAACTAAATCATTCAAATGAATGCGTCAAGTCTAAAGGATCTTAAGGAAAGTACCTTATCAATCAAAAGGGACAGTTTTCGTAGCTGAGCAACTTTCAAGTCTTCATTCTCCATCTGTAAATGATATTGCAAATGCAGTACAGAACCAGCTGAGAACTCAAAATAACATAGCACTGTAAAGTCGATCTATAAGGAGATCTGAACCTTGAAAATTGCACAAGAATATGTCATCGTCTCGTCTAAGAATAGAGAGAAAAATTCATTGCTCTGCATACACAAAGAAGAAAAGGATATTGTCAAGTTCTAATTTGTCGGGGGGAAAATAATATAGAAGGATTGATGGTACTTTACAAAGAAGTAACGACACAAGGATACACAAATTGAAAGCTTGATTTTGCATGAAGAAAAGAACATTCTAAGTTTCTGACCTTCTAAATCTTTCCAAGGAGAGAAAAACAATCCAAGGAATCAGCAACATATATCAGGGCATTCCTAATTTTACTATATCAAAACTTAGCAAATATGAGATACAAAATTAAATAATTCATGGCAATGAGTTTACTAGATACGTTGTTTTAACTGTGATGGAACAGTATGTTAAAGAAGACGCAATTGCGTAAAATAGTTTGAATTGATCTCCCAATACCCTGCAACTGCAAGCAACACCCAATATGAAAATAAATGTACTTTGATGAGAAGGGATACCTTTCATTTATAAATTTTCATCTTCCAAGAAGTAATCACACGGCTTCTTTTTGTTTCAGTAACTCAGAATTCTCTACCAGATCACTTCCAAGTCCATAAACTGAATGCAAACACATATAGTGTCTTTTGCTTTTATTTATAGTTGACAATAACAAAATAATCTGATACACTACAAGATCTGTAATGTTTATACTTTATATTTAATACTATGACAGATTTTTATTCCTTCTTTTGTTTCTTCTTTTTACACTATTCTATTAACAACTAATACCTATTGTTTCATTGTAAATTTTTGCTACTGCTAACTAGTGCAATTATGCTATAAATTTGTAAACAGTGAGACAGAGTAAAACACCTATGGCGAGTAATCTGAAAAACAATATAAGCACCACTATTCAGTCACATAATCTCAAATAACTAACCAGATCATAGTGACGAGAGATATTACGACGAGCTTGCGTGAGACTGTTTTGCCTTGAAACATGATGATAAAAATATCTGGCTGATGAAACTCCAGCTGTTAAAAATAATGGTGTCCACCAACCTCTGAAAATTTTAATCAGAAATATTCAATTAACAAAACTATATAAAATACTAACTCATGTTTATAATATAGAAAAAATTGTTCTGAACCACCTTTTATTTAAACTCTTGCTTGATGGATTTGTAAGATCTCTGTTACAAATAAGAATCTGCAAAAAGTAATCAACGTCGATCACGGGATCAACTCAGTAGGGAAAACTGATTCTGTTAATCAAGTATACCAGAAGAAGATCTAGAAGGCCTTCTTGCTTGTCCACAAGGGAAAAGTACCCATTTATATATGCATCTGCAAGTCCTAAATCAGCTTGTGTAGCAATCTGTAAACATGACGAGTGCTAGTAAATTGCCGCACTAATATCAGATGCAAATTCATAATTGTTTCTGATTTATGCCAAATGATTGAGGACTTATACAAGAAGTTACACTAAAAAAAATTACAGAATGGGGGGGAAAACCTTCCAGTAGAACAAAGGAGTGTGAACTTTCAAGACGGATTTCATGTGACTTTTCGTGTTGATTCCTTCAAAAACAAAAATTGTACCTCCTTCTTCTAGCAACCTGCACAAATTAAGTTCTCATGCTCTTTTATTTGTTAATTTAATTTTGTAAAATTTAAGCAAAAAGCACCATACCTTTAGGTGAAAGTACTATAGTTTCACAATGTTTTATTGGGATGACATGAATTTACTCCTTTTTTAGTTGCTGGAACACTATCTTGAGAACTTGTTTATTCCAAAAAAAAAGTAATAAAACGTTGTATAAAAATAAATATAAATTTCATAAATCTCCTGAAAAAAGTAAAGCTGGTGTAGCTTGCACATATAACTTGCACGTCCTGATTAACAAAACGGAAAGAAGACACATAAATTCTATCCGGAAGTTGAGAAGTTCAACTTTATTGAATGGAAACCTTGATGCTCCTAAAAGAGAATATGTCGTATAAGCAAAATCAGTGAAGTGGGATATTTTAAGTTTTTTAAATTATTATTACTTCACTAGAATCAAATGAAAACTTCATTTTTTTTTTATCATGGTGATATGAAAACTTCATTTTTTTATCATGGTGATTGATCTCTGGTCCCATCTCAACCTAAGACCAGTTGTGTATCATGGCCTAGGGAGTGAAAATGACCTTTAAATCACATGCAAGATAACATGACGATAAGCAAATGATTTGTTGGTTAATCACGCCTATGCTACTCTAAGTGACAGAAATGAGGAAGAAAAGTGTGCACAAGATCTCTATGGACCACAATAACTTGAGACCAATAACTACTGCAAACTTACGTCAAGCAACCAGTCGATATATAACGTTCAAGAAATCTAGTAACTATAAGTCTTGCTCCAGTTTCCATCAAAGAAGGTACCATATGTGTTGGATTTTTCAAAGGATTATATTCCTTTCCAAGAACACCGTGTGCAGCAACTCTACCAGCCTGACAGATAACCCCAAGAACTCATTAGCTGGAGCCCGTGCGATAGGAAGCATCCATAAACAAAGTAGCAAATTGAAAAGGATATAATAAAACTGTTTCAAACTTCAAAGTATATTATAAAAAAATATTCTATCAAATCAAAGCTTGTATTACACACTAAATTCTATAGGTACTGTTGTGTCATAAGTACCTTTAATCCATCTTCGTGGAAACCATAGCCTGCAAAGAAAATATGACTGACATTTACATTTGATAAGTTTTACAAATATGAGTGATAAGGTATGCAACAAAATGAAAATATGCAGAACTTCTATTAAGCATGATGAACACGCCAATCATTTTGCACCATGAGTTCTCAAATTTGAGTACAAATCTTGTTTTGGAAAAGAAAGCTTCTATTCTTTGATTGCAACCCTACGCCTAATGAAATGCATGCTGATAGTAGTTTGTACATCTTCTTTCTCCCTAAGAGATACATTATTGTTTATGTCAACAACTTATTCATGTGAAATTCATAACTTTCAATTAGAAGAGAAATCACAGATACCTTGATATGCACCACAAAACCAAATTCCTCTTTTGCCCTGAATTTTTTCAAGCTCAAGTGAAGCTTTTGATGCTGCCACTGAAGGAACAGGATGGCTTGTCCTCCATTTAAGTTCAGTATGCTGAGGAGTACAGGGAGGATTGAGAGTCACAAGGAAAGGAGGTTCAGTTGGACCAAGATTCTACAAAACGCAAAAGAAATTCAATTAGTTTTTTTTTGTGCTTAATAGGTCACTTACAGAAACATTATGACAGTGCAATTAACCAACAGAAGAACCTTTATACACCTGGAGCACATTGAGCCAGTACGAAAGACAAACACCACTGTTGGTTGTTCCGAGAAAATTCCAGGCACTCCATGCTGCTGGGTTCTGGGGCATCATTTTTGTGTCGCGATGAAGATATATATCACTGACATGGAACAATAAACATAAACATTCACTAAATAAATATCAGACTAATCAAATTGAAAAAATGATCCCCTTCTACAGCTGGACTTTTCCAAGATATCAAATACTTAATTACTCCCAGATACGCATCCTCTGAAGGCTATACAGGTCCTTATCATGTTCAATCTGTACAAAAATTATTTATCATTTTGATCCTTTTTCATGTTTAATGCTTACTATAGGTGTTAACTTTAGATCTAAAAGATAGGATAGAATAGAGAGTACCTGTACATATATCTAAAAGCACCAAGTATTCTTGATTCCTCATATGTTGCTCCTGTTCCTAAAATTTTCAAAGCGTCTGGTGCGTGGACGCTAATTATGCATCCATCATATATCTCTTCTGAATTATCTACCAATAACACACGACAGCCTGCCACCATAAACCAAATGTTTCAGGACAAGTATATCGAAGTATTTTTATTGTGTCATGCACACGCAAGCAAATGAACTCAAGTATATGTACACAAGGACAGGTATACATGCACATTATATGAGGAAATTAGCAATAACCATATCCATCTTTTCGCTGTCTAACCCATGTTTGTTTATGCGTGATGCAGTTTTTATAGCTGTATCAAGCCTGTGATGCTATTGCTCCTAATTAGCATATTCATTTGTCACCGTTGTACATGTCTCCAGACTATCTTAATCAATTCTCCTCATTTTGTTCTCAAAGAAAGCTATCGTTGATTTCTCACAGAGGTACTTATTACTTATCCTATTTTTAGTGTATAGACTTGTCCATCTTAATTTTTTATTCAGCCTCAATTGCTATCCTAAACATCTTACTCTATCATCCTACATTTTGATCTGTAAACGATGACTGGTTGTAGGGCCATTGAGGGGGGAAAAAATTATATCTAACATGTTTAATAGCTTAAGCATATTAAAGTGACAATATTTTGAAATTTGACACAACACACATATTTACCACAGCTTAAGGACATTGTGCCCATGCACAATGGTTCTACAGAGAGAGAGAGAGAGAGAGAGAGAGAGAGAGAGAGAGAGAGAGAGAGAGAGAGAGAGAGAGGGGGGGGGGGGGGGGGGGGGCCGCCAGGCTCACATCCTCAGTTGCACTGCACAACCAGTTTTAATATGACAATCTCTATTCTCCAGCTCTTCTCTAACCTGCTCCAAGTCAAATTGTGCACTCAAACTGAAGATTAACATGTAAAAGAAAAGACAAATAGCAATAGCTTCAATAAATTCATAACGATCACGAACAAAACTCAAAGGAACATCTACCTTGTTGACATAATGATGCGAACGCCCCTTGACTGTGAGCCATTGGGGACGACCAAAGAGCTGAAGTGCGCACAAATATTTATATCTAGTGGTTAGTACATATGTGAAAGTTAAAAAAAAAAAAAACTTATGTTTTGTTTCTCACATTCAAAAACCTTTTTTGACATGGTAAATTTCACGAAAAACTATCACGTCTTTGCGGGTTTCTGCACAAAGCTACCATAAACTTTTTTTATTTGAGAAAACTACCAAATTTTTTTCACTAAACTTCCTGTAATAATTTTTTCAGTGAACTATCATGCATTTAAGCTGGTCTGTCACATGCTTCACAATACAGGCGGCATATTTTGGACAATCTACCCTTATCTACTTTATATACATGATCCTATTCCCCTCTCCTACATTCAAGAATAATTACGCGTTATTCGAGCTGATAGGTCATTACCAAAAATTTCCAATAGTTCATGATATTTTTCTGCCGTCTTAACAGTTCATGATAGACCTCTAATAAAAAAAGATTACGGTAGTTTTGTGCAAAACCCTACCCTATACATGACACACTTCAAGATTATTTGCACATAGATTAAGGTTGCTTAATATCAAATCTCACAAATTAGATGTGATCAAGAAATAAGAAATGTGATGATACCTGAAGTAGATGATGATTCCTGCAAAATGAGAGCACAGAGAAAGCCGAGAATCTCATCACTCCCTCAGAAGAGCATGACCAGATTGAAGCACAAATGGGTACCTTAAAAAAAAATCATTATCAATTGACCCAAGTAAAAATGAGCTTTTTTTGGGCAACATTTTAAAAATGGGCTTACAAGATAAGCAGTCTGAAACAACTGAGAGTATCCATGTGACTTGATGAACTGCTCCAGGGTTTCACCTCGGCCCAAATCAGGATTGTTCTCATGATCCTCAAGATACCTTTTTTTTCATGCGCAAAATTAATAAAGCTCAATTGGGTTTTCTCGATTGAAACTAATTCAAAGAGTGATTGTAGACTTATTGGGATCCATAAACTTTTAATATGCAAATTTAGAGAGATTCCTAAAGAATTTGAGGGGATTTAACATGTTTTATGAAATGCGCGATAGAGAATGAAGCCCAGAACGGAGCTTTCTTCTGAAGTGTTGTTAATGGAAAAGTTCACACATGTTTTAACCTTGACACCCCAAGTTCAAAAATTCTTCAACTTCAATACCCCAAATTTTAGGACATCATAGCGTAAAAAAAAAGAAAAAAGAAAAAAAAAATCAAAGTTCAAAAAGATGTAGACATCGGGTCGCGAAATGTCAGAAAAAGACTTTGGGGTATCAAACTGAAAGAAGTGTACACTTCGGAGTATCGAAGTTCATCACAGTGTAAACTTCAAGAGTACCAAAGTGCAAATAACCAATTGTAAAACTTTTCAATAACTGTCATGCCTGACGACAACTGCGGCTAGTTGTTCAAGTGTTTGGACAGTTTTTGCACTTACGCACTTAACTACATTGTTCTTATGAGCTTTGTAGGCTGTTACGTAGAAATAAGTATAGTTTAGACCTTTTTTTATTTAAGACTGTGAACCTCGTTAGCAATAATTTTCAATAGTTCATAATGTTCTTACACTATTGAAAGTTCCTATCTGATTTCTCTAATTAAAATTTTATATAGTTTCGAAATTGAGATTACTCACTTAAGAACATCAGCTTTAAACTTGACAATTTCACGGATCATTTGCCAAAAATAAGGATTAATTGCATTTCTTTTTTGTGCAAATAAACCGGATAATCCATTTCTGCTCCCCCATTCACAACCCTTCCCTTCATCAAGACTGACGGAAAATGACATGTCAGAAATCTCCATTTCAATTCCAAGGGTCTCAAAGAACTCCATCATGTTCGGATATGTTACCTATAATGACAAATAAAAAATAATTTAGTATACAAATACATATTTAAATGAGATATGTATATCTTCTCTAATGCAAACAGATGCAGATATGAAGCAGAAATAGACACAACAATGTCCATACAAAAACATATCCACAAGTTAATAATCTTATATTAAGGAAGAAATCAAGTGTCGACCTAACACTGTTAATTTTGGACCACTATGTTGGGGAAATACCCGGGGCTACGCTAAACCCCTTTAACAGCGAAAAACGTAGTATAAAGAAAAATACACCAAGTTTTACGATGTTCGGCAAACTTGCCTACGTCATCGGGAGCCACACAATTAATTTCTTATAAATCAACAAGAAATTACAATACAAGAACAGATCTCAAACCTGAGATCCCTCAACAAACGGAAGTTTGTTACTGTAGCTACAGTAATAACTCTCTTCTTTAAATCCCCTTTCAATTCTCTCTTTAATTTCTCTTAAAATCTCCCCTCAAGTTCACTGTTGAGAGAGTCGGGGAGAGTGAGAGAGCGAGAGAGAGAGAGAGAGAGAGAGAGAGAGAGAGAGAGAGAGAGCAGAAGAGAAGCGCCGTCACCAAGAAAAATTCACGAGAGAGAAGGAGAGAAGAAGCACACGAGATCACAAGCTAAAAATTCGCGAGAGAGAAGAAGAGAAGAAGCACACGAGATCTCAGGCTAGGGTTCCTTTTATAGGTGAACCCTAACGCCAGGATGGCGATAGCCAGCTAGGCTGTCGCCAGCCATGCGAGCGCTCGATCTCGCTTGCAGGCCACCAACCTCACCTGCAAGGAGCCCGCGCTCGAGCTCGCCTGAAACATGAGCGCTCGAGCTCGCCTGGATCTCGCCCGCTGCTCGCATGCAAAGTCCCAAGTTCGCCTTCGGATCTGGGGGAGAGAGAGAGAGAGAGAGAGAGAGAGAGAGAGAGAGAGAGAGAGAGAGAGAGAGAGAGCAGAAGAGAAGCGCCGTCACCAAGAAAAATTCACGAGAGAGAAGGAGAGAAGAAGCACACGAGATCACAAGCTAAAAATTCGCGAGAGAGAAGAAGAGAAGAAGCACACGAGATCTCAGGCTAGGGTTCCTTTTATAGGTGAACCCTAACGCCAGGATGGCGATAGCCAGCTAGGCTGTCGCCAGCCATGCGAGCGCTCGATCTCGCTTGCAGGCCACCAACCTCACCTGCAAGGAGCCCGCGCTCGAGCTCGCCTGAAACATGAGCGCTCGAGCTCGCCTGGATCTCGCCCGCTGCTCGCATGCAAAGTCCCAAGTTCGCCTTCGGATCTCGCCCTCGCCTGTGCCACGCTCGAGCTCACCTGACGTAAGCCTCGAGTTTGCCCGACAGAGCTCGACTCATGCTCATCGCCTGCAGGTAGGTTTGGGCTACACCCAAATCCAACAATCTCCCATTAGGAGATCAAACCATCGTCAGCAGGCTATCTCAATAAGCATCTTCTCCTGTGTGGCTCCACCCTAATCACTTATGCATGAAGGCCAACTGAAGTTACGTACAACTCCAGTTTCTGAATGATCATCGTCTTTGTTAACATATCTACTGGATTCTTGCTTCCTGAAATCTTCTCCAGTTTTAATATGTCATCTTCCAATAAGGATATGATTAAGTGGTATCGAAGCCCAATGTGCTTCGTTCTAGAATGAAATGCGAAATTCTTAGCCAAGTGTATCACACTCTATCACTGTGTAAAACATTCTTCTCGTGTTTGAATCCCAACTCTGTTAATAAACCCTGAAGCCATATCATCTCTTTACTCGCTTCAGTCACTGCTACATACTCAGCTTCTGTAGTGGATAGAGTGATAATCTTCTGTATCTGTAGCATCCAACTAACACCTGTAGTTCCGACAATGAATACATAGCCGGTGGTGCTTCTTCGGTGATCAACTTCACCTCCAAAGTCTGCATCGACGTACCCTTATGCTTCCACTTCTTCCTTACCAAAATACAAACACTTCTGTGTGGTGCCTCGTAGATACCTCAGATTCCACTTGATTGCTTTCCAATGAGCTTTTCCTGGATTTAACATAAACCGACTGACCACTCTCACTGTATGGTCAATGTCTGGTCTCGTAAGACCATTGCGTATATCAAGCTTCCAATGGCTGAGGTGTAAGGAACCTTAGCCATACTCTCTTTCTGTTCATCTGACTAAGAAAATTGATCCTTTGATAGACGAAAATGGTTGGTCAAGGGTGTGCTGACTGACTTGGCATCGCCCATATTGAATCTCTGCAAAACACGATTGATGTACTCTATCTGAGACAACTGCAAGAACCCTTTCTTCTTGTCTCTCGTGATTTGCATTCCAAGGATCTTCTTTGCTGGACCTAAGTCTTTTATGTCAAACTCTTTTGACAATTGCTACTTTAAACTCCTGATGTCCTCCATATTTGCACCTGCAACCAACATATCATCAACATATAGCAGTAAGATAATATAACTGAACTGATATCTTTTGAAGTAGAAATAGTGGTCGATGTTGAACTTCTGGAAATCTTCCTTGTGCATGAAGCCGTCAAACTTTTTGTATAACTATCTTAGGGCTTGTTTCAGGCCATACAAGCTCTTCTTGAGTTTGTACACCAAGTTCATCTTCTTTTCTTCTAAGAAACCTTCTGGTTGGTCCATGTATATCTCCTATTCTAGATCTTCATGAAGAAATTGTATCTTCACGTCCAACTGCTCGAGATAAAGATTTTTAATAGCTACAATATTCATCACTGTCCTGATAGTATTTAATTTTACCACGGGAGTAAAAATATCGGTGTAGTCAATTCCTTCCTTCTGCTGAAATTCTTTAATAACTAGACGGGCCTTATATCTTCTGGAGCCATCCTGCTCCTCTTTCACCTGATATACCCATTTGTTGTGAAGTGTCCTTACCCGTGGGCAACTCAGGTAGTTCCCACGTCTAGTTTGAGATGAGAGATTTCATCTCATCTTTCATGGCAATCTCCCACTTACTCACATCTCCACTCTGACAAGCTTCATCATAGCTTTCATGCTCCCCTCCATCTGTTAGCAACAAATAGTTTATATATCTCTTGTCGGGCACAGGAGACCGAGAAGATCTTCTTAATATCGGAGCTTGTGTGTCGGGCTCCTGCGCATCGTTCTGTCTAACAGGCTCTTCTGGCTGAGGACATTCTGTACTGGGTTCTTTCGAGAGGTTACTCGGGACATCATATACATCTATAAATATTGACTCGCTCTCTGAGTCATCTATCTTATGCATATTCTTGTACATCACCTTCTCGTTGAATATCACATCTCTGCTGCGGATCACTTTCTTATTTTTTTATTGTCCCAAATGCGGTAGCCGAAGTCATCTTCACCATAGCCGATGAAAGTGTATTTCTTTAACTTGGGATCAAGCTTATTCCTGCGTTGATCACTAATATGCACGTAAGCTACGCAACCAAAAACTTTGAGATGTGAGAGTTTTACTTCCTTTCCGCACCATACCCCTCTGGTATTCTGTGCTCCAATGAAACCGATGGAACTTAGTTGATCAAGTAAGCTGCTGTATTGATCGCTTCTGTCTAGAATTGCTTTGGTAGACCTGACTGTATACAGATATTTCTGGCTCTCTCTGTCAACGTTTTGTTCATCCGCTCAACTACACCATTTTGCTGAGGCGTGTCGGGCATGGTTCTCTCCATTCTGACCCCGTGCTCATAGCAGAACTTTTTGAATCCGGTGTCTTCATAATCATCATCATTGTCGGTCCTGAGCTTCTTTATTCTCAGACTAGTCTCATTCTCGATCATGTCTTTCTATTTTCTGAAAGCCTCAAATACTTCTGATTTATGCTTCAGAAAGTAAACCCATACTTTTCGAGAGTGATCATCGATAATAGTCATGAAGTTGTGTTTCTCACCAATGGATACGGTGGTGGTTGGTCCCCAAATATCTAAGTGAACGAGCTCTAGCTTCTCTTTCCTGGGGGTTCTGCCACTTGTCTAAAAGCTGACTCTCTTCTGCTTTCTAAGTATGTATTCTTCACATATATCCATCTCCACTGACTGTGGTCCTGGGAGTTTTTCCTTTATGTGCATGATTTTCATCCCCTTCTCACTCATATGATCGAGTCTCTAGTGCCACAGCTTTGAAGTCTCATTACCTGCTGTAACTGAGATCAAACAACGTGCATCTGTTGTCATATACAGGGTACCAGTCTTCTTACCTCGGGTAATCGTTATTGCACCCTTTAAGATCTTCCAATCATCACCATGGAAGGTCATAGTGTATCCTTCGCTAGCCAACTAAACTACATATATTAAGTTCTTTCTCAAGTCCGAAATATGCCTGACATCCTTCAACTCCTATACTGACCCGTTTAACTTAATTTTTACTACACCTTTGCCCATAATAGCACACGGTTGATCATCACCAATGTATACATATCCAAGATTTCCAGAAATATACTTTTCAAAGAATTCTTTCTGAGAAGTAGCATGGAACGACACTCCTGAATCTAACACCCAAGATTCATCCTTTCTCTCCAAAGAGCATATCAATGCGTCGTCTCCTCCTGAGGTGGAAGTGACATTCACCTCTGCCTTCGCATCCTTCTCCTTTTGTGTACTCTTGCACTGATTCTTATAATGCCCGGTCTTTTCATAATTCCAACATTCGATAGCCTTCAAGCTGTTACTTGGATTCCTTAACTTGGACCTCCTGTCCTTTGATCTACCTTTGTAGTTTGATTTGCCTCGTCCGTTTCCTCTGGTTGAATTTTTATCTCTTGACTCTGTATGTAATACTGAAGAGGTTATAGCTTCACCCGACTCTCTCCGTCGGATCTCCTCACTGAGAACTAGATCACAAACATCGTCGAACTTTAACTTATTGCTTCCCGATGAACTACTCACAACCGTGACTGTAGCGTTCTAGCTTTCTGGTAGGAAAGACAAAAGGATCAACGCTCGAACTTCCTCATCAAACTCAATTTCAACTGAACTCAATTGAGTTGTGAT